AAATGCATTGTATTTAATCACTGAAAATGTACAAGGAAATAAATGGGGTGGAAAAAGGAGAGGTGAGAATTTACATGCATGAAAGGATGATTATATTTACAGGAAGGAACAGACAGTATTCAATGATTTTTCAGTTATCATTAGCTCCTTATTATCTTCTAAGTCATGGCACACTATTCCCTCTTCTTCTATGCAAGATCTTCCATACTTAGTGTTGCTCAACAGTTACTGGCCACTCTTCCTATGTTTGACTCGCGCAAGATCATCCTCTCAACCTCTCTTCTGCTTCCTATATTGCACAGAGAAACCTGCACCTACCCTTGCCACTTTGCAAGGGGATCTCTGACAGCCCGCACACAGCGAATTTGATGCTGAAAGTACAGCACACGTGGAAGACACTCAAAAATTGAGCCACGTGCGAGAAGAGGACTCTGCCTCTCTACATACCATGTAGATTCTTCTGCATACACAACCATGCAATATCCAGGTCTTCTTTCTTTCCCGGTAAACAGCACTCCTTATTGCTAAGAGAGAGAAGGAGAGGAAGAAGAGGCTTACAGTACCTCTCATTGAGGCATGTAAAAGAACAACCAACCTTCAATAAGACAAGTATAGTTTATTCTGCCTCTACTACAGCCTTGGAAGGAGGGCTTTAGATTTACAGTGTTTACAGCTATAATGGGTGTATTCTGCAGAAAGGGGAAGCAGAACCTTCACAATTAGTTGCTTTTTGACCCAACTAGAGTGTCAGATGAAAAATCTTTACAACATATTATTCTAAAAGCTTTCTTGACACACACACAAAGATGAAGGAGTATGTGTAACATCACACAATAGTAATTCCAGACAAAAAGTCACTGTAATTACTATTACAAAATCAAACTCACAAAAAAGTACATTAAAATCATTACACAACTAGAAAAACTTACTACTTCTTTTTAGATAGTCTACAAATACATGGTAAGGAACAGGAGTTTCATTTCCAGGAAGTTAGCAAAAAAAGATGATTCATTTTACTTAACCTATGCATATGACTATACATTGTCTCAATTACCATGAATGCAAAAGGAATGACTGGCAGTTAATGGAATTTATAGATGGGAGTAAATAAATGCAAAAATATTTCTAGAGCGGTTTTATTTCCTGAATATTATTCATTGCATAGAAAAGGAACTAAAAAAATATTTTTGTAAGTGATACACTGGCATATACATGTGATGACCATGACAATACAAGGAAAGCTATGACCAGATTCTTGACAGTAAGCACCACACACTTATGCAAGACCAATGCATGCACAAACACACAATGCAACTGAGACAATTGTCTATGCGTAAGCTTATCACATGCACACGTGTCTGAGCAGCTATATATACATAACTTGTTCATTACGTTTGCATATCTGTTTTCCTCTTCTCTTTTTCCTAAAGGGAGCAAGACTGGAAAACAACAGCTCACCACCAGATAAAACGCTTCCTTTTCAAATTTCCCAAAACCTACACAAGTTGATTCTGCAGTTCAGTTCCAATCTACATCTCTTTAAAGCTAGAGTCTTCTCTAAGCTACAGTTTCCAGACATGCAATTTTAAAGTATTTTTACAAGCTGCACAAATATTCTTTTGAAGGACAAGAAGTTACAGTGAAAGTGTCTATATGGATCATAACAAGAGTTGGCATCAAATTCCTGCAGGTGAAATTGGTTCATTGACTTACATTTCAATATAACCTTTAAGTAGTGCTTTAGAAATATATATCTATTTTTATGCTTGAAAAATATAATAGCCATCTTTTAAGGAAGCAAGCCACTTTGATATTAAAAATAATCAACCTATTACTTTGTTTTAGGAATTTCCAAATACTAATTATACAATGCTTTTCATTTTGGAGTCAGTAAAATAATAATTTTGTTGTCAAAAAAGACCAAACGGTACTTGATATTCTAAGACTTCACCTAATTTCTGCCCTAGCCTTAAAAATCAGCTATGCTTAGAAATATGACACAGGCAAAAACATTACAATATTGAAAAACTATATAATACAGAACAAGTATAGCTGCACCCATTCAAATACAGTACATGATATGAGTCAAATGAGACACAAATTTAACTCCAGTATTTGCACGCTCACCACCTTCTTATCCTGCTAACTCTTTTGGAAAATTGACATATTGAGTCCTGAATGTATATGTAAGTATGAAAAGCACGCAACGTCAAGTTCCCTCCTCTTGTGTTTTCACAGGATTAATGTTCATGCAGCTTTTTTCATGCATGTAAACCCTGCTAAAGTAACAACTCTACCCAGGTGCAACAAGCTTCCCCCTCACTGCCACTGCAATGCAAAGATATGCACTCATTTGCCAATACAAGTTTATTTTCTATAATGGACTACCATCCTAGGCTTTCTAGCTTGGACCCTGAATATTTTTCATTTGGAAATTACACAGTCTTCACTGGCCTGCTGCCAATGCTCCTGATATATTCTCTCAAGTGTTCTTAGAGAGCAATGAAAAAAAGTCACTATCCTCCTATTAAAAACTGGGTGCTGTGGAGATAAACAGTACATTTAAATTAGACACAAACTGAAAATAATAAACCTTGCACATAGGCTGTTCTTTAACTCTTCCTAATATACTAGAACAGAGATAGACAGATGCCTTCAATCCACACAGGCATATTATATTCCAAACAACACGGAAAGTTAAAAAGAATATCTCAACTATTAAACACTTCAGATATACTCTTCTTAAACACTATCTTTCTTTCAAGTATTTTTTTTATAACATCTATTAACAGGTTACATATTATCCCACATAACTGCCATAAACCTACCAATTCTCTGTACCTAATATTTTTGCTGTTTTTTTAAAATTCTCATTGCTTGACTGAATTTTCATCGTCAGATGAATTTAATCTCAGATGCACTTTACCATCCTTATTTTTTGACAAAGAATTTTAATTTCCAACATTTCAGTATGTTAATAAAAAAAATAATTTGAATAACTCATTATAGAGTTATTCCAAAACCAGCTTTTAAAATTTCCAAGTTACAAGCAAGGAACAACTACATACAGTACAGTATCAGCCACAAAAAGGAAAGATACCACAGATAACAAAGTAAGCAAAACACAAAATGGTACACACTTCAACATAGACATGCAAACAGAAGATTAAAAGTTGCTTTGATTTCAATAAGAAAATGATTTTAATTTCAATGAGAAAATGTACCAGAAAGTCTACCAAGGGTAGATATTGAACATTATGTTGCCGTAATTTATCTATTATCTTTATGATAATAAAATGTGTTTTAATCATTAATACCCAAATAAAATTCTAAGCAAAAAATAATTCCTCATCCAAACCAGTATGATGACATGAGATTTATCCATAATCCCTTTCTTAACTTCCCTAGGAGTAAAAGCATAAAGAATTATGTGACTTGAGCTAAAAAAAAAGTATCAATTTAACTTTTATCTATAAAAGAACTTCTATCGGATACACAAATACGTAAATGTTACCTTGGAAGAAATAGTTTTCTAAATCACACAAAGTATTAACTTAATGCATCAGAAAAATAATACACATGAAATTCAGTAACTACCCAGTTTTTAAAGTATCTGTGAGCAGCGGCAGAACATCGTTTCTTGCAATTACACAGAAAATATTTCACAGAGAATCAGTTTACGGTATTCACTTGCCTACTTTGGAGAAGTTAACCTTTTGAACCATTCTTAGGGTATGCTGACCCCTAAAGGTCTAAAAATACTAATTCTGATTAAGCCATTACACATTTAAAGTATAAATTGTATTCTGACAGTTCTCCACTAAGTTACTCCACCATGACTATTTTTGTTTTGAGAGTATATGATTCAAAACCATTTTTAACTTCACTTAGTAATAGCTCAAAATTCCATTAATTAGAAGAGGTCTGCAAGTAGTTTGTTTTACACAGTAATATAGATAGAAATTCCTTTACATATGTAAGAAATGCACCATCTCCAAGATGAAGTATTTCTGCTTTCTTCTAAACAACAGACTCTTCACAAGAAACTTGACATTTATTATCTTTTGAGAAAGAACACATACTATAAAATTCAAAAAAAGGAAATACACAAGATGCTATCAGGCTCTGACATAGGAAACATCTTTAATGTTGACACACCTATTCCACTGTTTTAATTTTTTTTTTAACCTACACATAGCCACTTACTGGAAAAAATCCACCCTTTTATGATGTACTGAAGGTCTCTTTCCTGTGTCTTTCCCTTTCTTCAATCCACACATTATTACCTAGTCACAAGCCACTTTCTGACAGTTCTCTTCCATAAAGGCAGTCAGTGACATAATGTGCTCTCAAAGTCAGTGCTGCTTTTTTTTTTTTTTTTAACTTTCTTTTTCTTAAGTTTCTGCCACAAAACATAGAAGAATGTATCTGAGAGCAAAATTTTGGTCATCTAAATACAAAAAGATCCTTCCATCCTGATGGAGATGAAACCATCATGAACCATGGACCATGGAAGTTCCAAGTTAACCAAGGCCCCCTTTATCTCCAAGCCTACCTTACTGTCTATATTCAGTTGAGGTAATAATGAGAAACTTGTTAATATTAGTAGATGGCTTAATCATACTCTAGCCAGGTACGAATAGCCAAGAAAGTTACTTTAAAACAGACTTCAGATTTGCTGTTAAACTATTAAGAAAAAAAAGGTTGGAAAGCGCAATGTACAGACTAAGAATTTAAATAAGACTTCTCAAAGTTATACAAAAACATTTTCAGTAACTCAGAAAATAAAAATAAAGCTGATGATTTACATTCCTGTAGCTGTTCCCCTGTTACCCCAAACTACTTTTAAGAGGCATTGTGTGGGTTTTTTTTGTTTAGTTTTTTTTTTTTAATTTTCTTCCAAAGTCAGTCATATATCGGCAAGAACAAATACATTCCAGTCACTGCCTAGCACTAGTACAACACCTGAGGTTCCTTATTAATATCTTAAAAGTTCTTACCTTTTGACCAGTCCTCCATTTGTTCTTCTGAACTTGTTTGATCTGGCACTGAGTCCAGTTTTTGCTTGAAGATTTCAGAGCTAAAATAAAGCAAACTCTAGATAAATAAACTTGAAATAATATATTATAACACAGCTATACTTTGCCTTCATTTGACAGAAAATTTACAAGACAAATGATTTAAAAATATTTATAACAGGACAATAAAGTCTGTGTACTTTAACAGTCAGTGCTAAATTCTATTTCTCAGTAAAATATTTTTTCTTCACAGATCTGATTTTTATAATGGTTTGGTTTAGCTTTCTGTTGCATCTAATCCCTTTGTTGAAAAACTTATTAGTCTGTCTTCTTGTTCTAGAGTCTGGTCTTGGAAGTACATGCTACTGGGCACAGCCCAAATGACACTGAGTGGTCCCGCTAGAGGCAATAAGACTGCTCACTTTGGTAATTATTACAGATGGTGGTATGCGCTTCACTTTACAGCATTCTTTCTCCTGCCTTAATTTCCTGGATAAAATACAGGTAAAGTGACCCACAACCACTCCAACTCTAAATTTCCAGATTTTTCTAAATAGTTAAATAATCCATCCTAATATTTGCATACATATTGCTTCAGACTATGCAGTTAATTACATAGTTGCAGTATTTCATATAATCAAAAATCTTCAAGAAACAACCCTCAATACTCAAAAATAAGACCTACAGTAAAATGTTATGCTTACCGAGTAATGTTTTGAGTGCTAAAATATGTGTTCTCTTATTCATTAAAAATTCAACTATATTCTGTATCTCAAGAAAATCTAAATAAATTTGTAATCTTGCTAATATAGTCAGCTTACCTCAAATTTTATTGCTTACTCAAGCACCTCTTTTAAAATGTATTATACACAAGACAATTTTTCATCTGTAACTACGTAGTTGTGCTTATTTTGTATGTTTTCCCTGCTATATTTTTTCAACATTTATTAAAAAAGACACACGTGCCTTGAGGAGGCAGTGGTTGGATCACAAAAATACCCAGAGAGTTGTCATTGCCCTGATAAATGTCAGAGTTTAAAAAAACCCCACAAATAAAGTACACATTTTAAAATTCAAGCATATTATACCAAGACATACGTTCTAACTAATAAAGCAGCAGAAGAAATTCTTTTCCTACACAACACCAAAAAGGGCAGGTGTTTTCATTTTTATCTTCGAGATTGTAAAAAAAGTACAATAATTGTGCAAACATTTAAGATTCAACACTAACACTTACATTAAGTATTCAAGAAATACATATTTAGCTCATATTTGTTGTTAACTATAAATGTGCATGGTAAAAAAGAAGTGTATAATTTGATGTGCTTAGGTCTTAACAGAAAATAACAACTTCACTTTATATCACAGAACACTGAGTTCCTCACAAGAATCCCTCAAATGAAGCTGTATGCTTCTTTTTCAATTCTGTCTAACTGTGTTGATTTGGAGTTGGCAATCTTTTCCTAAGTTCCTAATTTACTTTTGGATTAGCTGAAAATATAGAAGGTTATTAATATCAAGAAATAGGTTTCTGTCAATGAAGCCATTTCCC